GACAACCGCCGCCTCCTCTGTAGACTCTGGCAACTCTCCCTCCAGAACTGTTTGCCGGCTCCGATTTTGGGGGGGAGTAAGCGATAGCGGTCCTGCCACAGCGATTTACCAAGATATCCCCAAAAGGGATTCAGTAACACAGACCAGAGCTTAAGCTCTGAACTATTTCTAGACTCTATTCATGGCTTGAGTTATATGCAAGCAGGTTGATGCATATTCTGCTTTCCCATGCCGACAGTTTTTGTGCAGTGTTAGGGACCAGGCTTTTTTACTGTAAATGGCAGATCAGGGACATGGGAGAAATATCAGGCTACTCAACAGTCTAGACGAAGGGGCAGCTCTGTTGCTGTCTGCAAAAGCCACAGCTCACAGAAATACCGTAAAAGATTGCGGCGCTTCCCGGGGGCGGGCGCGGGGGGCGGGGCTTGGTTGATGAAGCCTTCAAATCCTACAAATGGACAGGTTTGCATCCGTTACACACACGGTATGGATATGGCGAGAATACAAGAGCTTTCCTTGGATTTGTGGACTGCTCTGAGGCGGGCTGGATGCCCAGAATTCGCTACAGATAAAAAGTTCTCCGATGAACATGGGAATTTTCCAAACCCTACGGTTTGGTTGGGCATGTTATGGATGGGTCCGCTGAACGTTTGGTTCGCTGGGGAAAGTTAACGGCGGTTGGCAGCCAGGAGGGATGCGCCAGGGATCAGCCCCAACGCCATTTACATCCACTGTTATGGCCAGTTAAATCTGGAAGAATATAAGTTGAAGCTTGCAAAGTCAACCGGGGTGGCTCTGGCGTTTTTTCTGTGTCATGGAAAGCCTATACACCTTATTCGGGCCAGGCTGAATCTATCATGTCTTGGTCTACAGATGGCAGAAACAGCTCGAGTGAAAGCGGAGGCTGTATGCCTATGTGGAACGCGAGTATGGGCCCTGACAGAATGGACATACGGTGTCAGAGCTGCTGTAAAAAAGCTTCTTTCCATTACAATGTATTTATAAAGTCCGTTTACTAAAATGGCCCAAGCCCTTGCCGAGTTTTCTGCTGCGATTATGCACCATAACCGCAAGATTATCCAGGAGGGATTACAGGTTTGCTTCACAGTGTGGGGAAACACTGTAATTTGATTGTGTTCTCCCATGCATTGCCGCATCATCCTATGTCGGCATCTCAGCGCCCTTCAGAAAAACAGACACAAACTGCTCAAAGCTTCAGGTTGTTCTGCAGGCCAGCATCCAAAAAAAAAAAAAAAAAAACAAATAAAAAAAAAAAAAAAAAAAAAAAAACAAAAAAGAAACAAAAAAAAAAAAAAAAAAAACAAAAAAAAAAAAAAAAAAAAAAAAAAAAAAAAAAAAAAAAAAAAAAAACGGGCTTCAGGAAATGAGAAAAACTGGAGGAAGATGATTGTGAGCGGGGAGCATACTTACTTCTTTGTGAGCTCTTTGGTGACATTCTGTCACAGAGCAGGAGGGCCCCGGACACAAGCGCCCACTGCCGAATGACAAGACACATTAACTTCTGACTTGTGGGGAGCGCTGGTGCAAAAGGGAACTGCGAGTACCCTCCGTATCAAAGAGCGCCCCTCCGGGGGACAAATTGCGGCTCTTCTTCAACCATCCTCTCTTATATCCTTGTCATTGGACACACTTGTTGGAGCCTGTAACTACATGCTTTTCCAGGAAGAAGCAATGCAAATTAACAAAAAGTGTAGACGCTGTGTTGGAATGTGCATGCTGATGGGAGGCTGCCGGACTGAAAAAAAAAGCAACGTATTCTTCAACCCTAAACAGCAAAAGAGTAGAGGATATTAATGGAATTATTCTGCCGCGACATCTTCAGTTTGATGAACATCAGCCAATAACTGATGGGGGCCTCTGTATCTGCCTTGACTGGGACGGTGGTTAAAGCGGTTTTTGGCGGGTTTATAAGTTTGCTCCGCGTAGGCGCCTTTCTCTGCTTCCGCCCCATATTGTGCCTTTGCCGTAGCCGCCGCTTCGACCTACCTGTCGCGGTTATCAAAATGCACTTAATATTAGCGGGCTCAAATTTGCTGATCATTGTGCGTCACTTGGGCAAGAAGGTTGCTGGGCCCGCTCATGTTTTTTGCAGTTGATTCTTGGGTCCGACCTTTAGCTCTCATTGCAATGAAAAAATATTAGCTTTGCTTATTTTTGTGGTTAAACACATCGGGAAACAGGCCTGTTCTACGGACTACCATGGTCAGTGGACCGCCAATGGTTCATCTACAGTAGCACAGAATGTGGCAGCCCTCTGGAACGGCCCTGTGACCCTGTTACCTACGCATACGGGTGGTCATTTTTCCAATATTTTTTCTACGTACCCGCAACTTGCAACATTCACTGGCCAAGCATGCACATTTTAGGATCCTGCTGGTGAAATCCTACATACTGGTGCTTTAACATTGTAGACTACTAGACAAAGACTATATTTACATATATATAATGCAATAAAACATAAAAACTTGTGTGCAGGAAATGCTAGAAGTCAAAGAAGAGGTCTGCTGACTGCTGGTCCTGTTTGAATTCAGTCTGCTTCAGAGGAATAGAAAGAGAATGGTAAATGGACCTGGTAAGGTATCCCATGCTGATTATTAGAGTGGCCTTGGTTAAGTCTTCATCACTCAAAAGCCACTGATATAACTCCACAACGATTGCCACCATTCACCCTTTTAAACACACATTACACTCAGTGATGGAAAGATCCATCGAACAGAAATACACATTCACACACCAAGCAATTCGGGGTTCAGTATCTTGCTCAAGGATACTTCGACATGTGGTGGGAGTAGCCGGGGATCAAACCAGCAACCTTCTGATTAGTGGACGACCCGCTCTGCCTCTGAGCCACAGCCGCAAGTAATTTTTTTCATTTAAATAAAATGATTGACAGCAAAAAATGAAACCAACTAATGAGAGTTCGTGGAGGAGTGGGAACTGAATGAGAATCCAACCATCTGGATGGAAATAACAGATTATAAAGAGCCGACTTCAAAAAGACCTGCTGTGTTGTTACTGAATGAAGTGAATCCCTGCATGATGAAATGACTGACGGCATAAAACTAATTTTAGACATATTTCCCCAAAATTCAGTCCAACATGTTTTGTATCTTTGGAGTTTTTTGATGTCCTCTAGGATTTTAAATAAGTTATGTGGCTTTGAAAAACACAAACCTGAGTTTATAGAGATGGAGACTGAGCTGTTGGTACATATATACGTACATGCAGTAGATAATGTACTAATGCACATCTTGCCGAGTCAATCATGTCATGTGTTTTATGTAATCTGTAATGTTAAATGCTCTCCGGGAGCTGACTGCAGCAGCTGTTCCTAAATTCAAACATAGCCATGTGCTAATGTCAGTGTTTACAAAGTGGAAATTTACGCATCGATAAATTAAAACCAACTCGTTCCGATGAAGAGATTAGTTGTTATTTACACCCACTAGTTGTTGAACCAACTGACAAAGCTAACATTAGCATTGTTGTTTCGATCAATCAGCAACCTCCATGGCTCCAAGCCAACACTGAAGTAATAAAAAAAAAAAAATTGAATTTCTCTCAGCACCATTTTGCCTTGTGGGGGATGGAAAAGACTTTTTGAAACCTAAATGTTGGCAAAATCTGCAGTTTCTCTAATGTCCACTAGAGGCTGAATCCAGCAGTGAGTCATAAGGCCCCATATTAAAATGTCAAACTTTACAGCAAAAATAAACATGTTTACACCCTTTCGGACTCTAGAGCTGATATCCCCGTACTGTATGTTTATAAAACTCACTGTTTAAATTATATTAAGGATTAAAGTTATGCAGAAGTTATGCAGGTAACAGCTGTTTTAAGTAATCAGGCTTCTTTCTGCTTTGACCATTTTTTTATTAGCCGGGAGTGTCAGAACTGTCAAGACAGCGATAGCCAGAGCCGACCACATTGAGCTTCACAAACATACGGGGAAGGTCACAGAGGTTAGTTCACACTTACTTAAGCATATGTCACTTTTTTTTACAGGAAGAGAAAAAAGATTGAATTTGGATATAAAGATAAAGATAAAATATTTTACTGTAAATGTTTTGGCATACATTGTTAAGTAT